TACAGAAAGAAGTGGAAAGAGACACAGAGACTGTCAAGGTCCTAGGGCCAGGAGATGAAGCTGAAATACAACTAACCAAGAATTAATGGACACACTATACGGCCAGCCTATGTTACAAAGAAAGATAAAAGTGACTTTCTTAGGGTCAAGAGGGGATCCCAAATTGGAAGACAGAACTCTTCACAATTGTAATTCTACCATTTCAGGAATCTGAGGCAGGAAGATCACAATTTTGAGCCCAGGCTGGGCAACTTGGCAAGACCCTTCCTTAAACTAAAAAATAAAAAGGAGGGCTGGGGAGGTAGCCCAGTGCAAAGATCCTAGCATAACACACACACACACACACACGCACACGCACACACACAGCAGGACTCTGAACTTCTGGAACGTTTACTAGGATGTCTATGATCACAAAGGTCAGACGCAGCTGTGGAAAGGCTAGCTTCCAGGGGCAATTCTAGACTTGCAGGAGAAGACAGGCACAAGTCCACCTTGCTGTACAGCCCTGGCCTAAACCCAGGGAGGCAGCAAGGCAGGCCTGGGCAAAGAAGAGCCAAGAGCCTGGCCCAATACCTAGGGCCATAGCTGGTATCTAAACCTTGGCACCCGTCTTGGCGGCCTAGCATGACTGAGCTGTTTCACCAGCCTGTGGGGAGATGGTGGCTCAAGTCAACTGTAGGTTGATTTAAAGACAGTAAAGAAATGTGATATTTCTTGCTCACCTATTTATGGATTAAAAAAAAGTAAAGCGAGGTTCTTTGAAATTTGTCAAAATGACCAATTTCTCTTCAGTTGTTTCTACTGCAAACCTCTCCTTTCAGTCTAGAGACAAAAAATTATTTGGTTTCTCAGGACAAAAGCTCAGAAATACTCACAGATCCTGTTTCTTCATCCAGAATTCCCACTCCTCCATGAGGCCAAGCTCAGGTGCCCCCTCCTCTGTGGTCTCTGGCATTTTCTCAAAGAAGGTAAGATGCCCAACTTGTCCTGGCACAGTGCAGGGTAAGGACCCGTCCTGCTGGGACTGAGTCTGTCCCTAGGCTCCATCCCGCTGTTTAGGTGTGGGTTGCTCAAGGGTAGAAAGCACGCTGTCCTGTCCCTAACTTCAGGGACTCCCAGGATGCACCAAGTGAAGGGCTGAATGGAACCAGAGGGAAAGAATTTAGGTGGCCCTAAATTTCATTCAAACCTCTCATCTATGACCCAGTCCTTTTGGAAGTACCATTTCTCATTAGCCTGAAGGTTTATTTTACATGCAGGGGTTTCTCCATGACTCAGTTTCTGGGCCCCTGGCCAGGAAGCATCGTCAGAATTCCTATAGAGGAGGTCTAAGCTCCTCGGCCTGACTTCCCTGTCTGCCCTGTGAGAGGCAGATGGGCTAAAATCTTTCCTAAGTGCTTAATGAAATCAAGATTCACGTGTTCGTGTGTGCCTTCAAATGAGTTTGTCAATGTTGATTATAGAAATTTTAAACTAGACCAAAAAAAAAAAAAAAAAAAAGATGTGGCTATAACAGGATATCTGTTAACTTTTAATTATAGAAAGCAGAAAGCCAAGTATCTGGTAATAGAGACTGCATTCCAAATGGCTGGAGACAAGGAAAAAAAAAGTCATTAGTCAGGTCTAGAAAAACAGTGTTTTGGGGCCGAGGATTTAGCTCAGTGGTTTGGCCGCCTGCTGTGCAAACGCAAGGACCTAGGTTCAATCACCGGTACCAAAAAAAAAAAAAAAAAGAAAAACAGTGTTTTACCAAGTAATATTTTGAGACAGAACTGAAGAGGGAATGTAAAACATCTGTTACAACACAGGTCTTTTCCAAACTGAGCCCTTTAGAAATTCTCAGGAAGAAGTAAGTTTCAATTCATGTGAAGATATTTTAGGGTGTGAAAACAAAGCACCTACTGCAAAAATATTACAACTCCTAGAAGTTTACAGAAGATTCAGAATCAACAGACATCAGAGCTCAGCTGTAATCTAGATATTTAAAAAAAAACCTTATGGGTCGGGGATTTAGCTCAGTGGTTTCACCGCCTGCCTCGCAAGCGCAAGGACCCGAGTTCAATCCCCAGTACCAAAAAAAATAATAATAATAATAAAAATTAAAAAAAAATTTAAAAAACCTTAACAGCATAGTTAACATGGGGGTGCATTTGTGTTACCAAAAATTCAAACAATTCAGTTAAAACTTAAGTTCCCTAAAGATTCTTTCCTGGCCTGTGGTTTAGTCTTTTCATTCTCTAAAAGTATCTTCTGAAAAGAAAAGTTCAAAATTTTTGATACAGTCCAATTATCATCCTGTTTCTTTACGGATTGTGCTTTTTTGTGTTTTTTATAATTAATCTCTGGCTAACCCAGGGTCATATATATTTTCTCTTATGCTTTCTTCTAAACATTTTGTAGTTTTAGGTTTTTACAATCTCTGATACTTTTGAGTTGATTTTTTTATATGTGGCAAGAAGTGGATCCAAGTTCTTTTTTGGGGGAGGAGGGTGGTATATAAATATACAATGATCCTAACACCATTTGTTGACTCTGCTTTTTTCATTCCTTTGCATCTTTGTCAATAATCAGGTATCCATATATGTATAGGTCTGTTTCTACATCCTTTATTTTGTTCTACTGATCTATTAGTCTATATACCAATACATTTATTGTTGCTTTATAATAGTTTTTGATATCAAGTAGTGCTAACCTTCCAACTTTGTTCTTTTCCAAATTTGTTTCAACTATTCTAGGTCCTTTATCTTTCCACATGAATTTTAGAATCAGCTTGTCAATTTCTATACAAAAATCCTGCTTGGATTTTGACTAGCACTGCACTGAAATACAGATCAATTTGAAGGGTTTGATATTTTAATAATCTGGAGTTGTCTGACTCATACACAAAATTTACCTTTCTATTTATTTAAAGACTAATTTTTCTCAGTAATATTTTCAGTACGCATGTATAACAGTTTAAATCATGCTCTTCCTCTTTCCTGCCACCCACAAAGACATACCCATGTGGTAATCCCAAGGGCCTGAAATTGTGATCTTATTTAGAAAAAAAACATCCCTGCAGATGTAATTAAGGGGACTCGAGATGATCATGCTGAATTATCTTAAATCCATAAACATTCTCACGTCATCCAGGAGAGAGAGAGGAGAGAGGAGACAGGAGAGAGGATAGAGGACAGGGAGAGAGAGAGAGAGAGAGAGAGAGAGAGAGAGAGAGGAAATGAGAATATGAATGGTCATCCCAAAGTCCCAAATTTCTTTCAGGGGCACATTCCTAGCAG